GGTTCAATAGTTGCTATATATATGTACCTGGCTGGCTAACCATAGGAATATCCAAGTTGTTTCCATCAGTTTCAAGTGCTACTTCCCTTACATTAGCTATCTTTGCCTCTGTTGCCTGAATATCACTCCATTCATTGTCTCCAACTGCCTGAATGTTCACCTGATCTGTTGCCATGTGGACTACATTCTCTGCAGGTACTGGGATAGCTCTAAAAACACTCAGGCATGCTTTATCCACATTCTCTTCTGTGAGGTCAATATGCTTTGTATCTGAGCATGACTCTGTCTTCTCAAAAACTTGAGTTGTATCAATGTGTTGCCTGTTGAAAAAATATCTGAATGTCAACTTGGTTTCCTTTAACTTTTGATAATCATATTTAATAATTATATCTGGTTCCTAAAAAAGTATATATATATATATATAAATTACTTAAAACTATCTCAATTATATATGTTCAGTATATACAATAATTACTTTAATTATTTTATATTTAATAACTACATATTAAAATCATTAATTATTACTTAGGAAAAATATAAGTTAATTTTTTAGGTGACCACAGTATTGATCTGAAATATTCAATATTGTAAATAATGATTAATCTTTGTTGATGACTATAAAATTACATTAGATGAATTTCCTCTCAACATAATTTATTCTATTTATAAGATTAAGATTTAAATTCTAAACAACCTAGTAAAGAAACACAAGTTACTATAATGTTGAATAGTAATTAATTTAGTTAATATAATTAAAGTAACCATGTTTTTATCAATATTTAATAATTACTTTTAATTACCAATAAATTAAAAATAAAAACATTTAAAACTATCCTAATTATATGTATATTTTAATAGTTACATTACTTACTGCAAAAAATTATAATCATATTTAATAATTATATTTAGTTCATAAAAATTGTATTAATTACATTGCTTAGTGTAAAGCACTGCACGAATTTTATTAAATTAATTATATTATTAACAATTTCATATTTTTGTTAAAAATAAAATTATAAATTATTTACAAATCAATGTCATTTCATACATTAAATAATATAAACATTAATAATTATATAGTTTGTTTTTATAAAATGTAAGTAGATAAAAGATAATTTCGAATCCACATCGATCGATTGCTTCAAATCCTCACCAATTTCATGAATTAGTCATATATTTTTACTAATAAAATATTTATAATTAATTATATTAGTATTAATAATGATATCACGATATTAAAATTAAGCACATATTTTAATTTATGTTGTTAATTAAGAAATCAAATCTCATGTCAACACACTTCAAGTATATTTAGGTGTCGTCGAGCCCTTACACTAATCCTGGAGATGCTTTCATACCTTTTCTTCAATTTAGCGAAAATAAGATTTTGAACTGTAATGTCACATTTAGAATCATTAATCGTGAAAAGACTTGTCATTTTCTCTCCATTTCTATGGTTAATGCATATTGCCAACTAAGTTGCTAGAGGTGAACAAGGAAAGACCATTCAGAACCATTAATCCTTAAAAGACTTGTCATTTTCTCTCCATTTCTATGGTTAATGTATATCCTCAACTAAGTTGTTAGAGGTGAACAAGGAAAGACCATTCAGAAACATTTAATGCCTCTTATTACTATCAAACAATAATAATATAATAAGAAAAAGTCAACCAATATTGTAGCTCTCACCTACTTAAACATAAGATCATATTAATAAGGTAATTTTTATCCCGTAACACATAAATACAATAAAATCTTTCACATGTTTTAATACCTCTATGTAAATGAAATTAAGTGTGTTTAATTTATCTTTTAAAAAGTACTTATGAGAATAATTCACTTAATATTGAATAGATGTTCATGTAATTTGGTACATTAAAAAATTTACTATAACAAGTTTACATGCCCATTTTCATGAGTACAAATTACTAACTATTGCTTAAGAATACAAGTATGTTACTATTTACTAAACTTATGTAAGTCAACTCATGTTACTAAACTTGATACGTAGTTTGGCATGAAAGTAGCACACATAAATTTGCAATCAATCATCACATGAGATAAAAGTTTGACAGATACATGAAAAAGGGCAAGAATACAAGGAACAATAAACAAAAGCTAATTAACATCTCACATCATTTAGCATGGGTATATAGAATTCACACCCTTTAACAAATCAACAAGTTGCATAATTATAATTAACCAAGCAAGAATGAGATATAAACAAGTACGTGAAGTCAATGACGACTAAGGACGTAATCCCAAGAGAATGGTTTAAAAATCTGAGGAGCCTTAGACTCCATGAAACTCAAAAGACCCTTAAAAAGGTGCATATAAACTAACCAATCACCATTCCCAATAGGAGAAGGCATTGGCATGACGTAACCAGCATCTCCACCCCATGGAAAATGGTACGATGCAAACACAGGCTTCCCCCACCCAAAGTCAACCTTTGACACAGGGAACCTTTGTCCAGAAGAAACCACAAAACGAGGTCCCTCTTCATTTTCATGGCCACAATAGATCCTAGCAACCCCAGGGACAGGTCGGTGTGCCTCCACCCAATCAACAAGTCCCAAAAAATGCTCCTCTGTCACACCCATCTCCAAAAACTCGTGAACTTTCTCCGCCACCCAACTCAACGGCTTTTCAACAAGCTCCTCCACCTGTTTCCCACCGTAGGGGATTGAAAGCACGTTACCGAAATACGAACCCATGTTCTTGTCGCCATTGCTCAGTCTCTTCCTTCCATCAACCACAACACCCATCTTTGCAACAACCTTTCTCTTACCATCAACACCAGCAGCAGCATCAGCAGCTTCAGCAACCGTCTTCCACAAGAAGGCGGAGAAAGACTGGAGCCTTGTGCGCTTCACACCGTTTGAGCTAGCGAGCGCCTGCATGCGGTTCAGGTGGTCGCTTGTGACGTAGTATATGCGACTAATGAGTGGTTCAGATTGAACTCCGAACTTAGGAGGAGGTAGTGCAGCCATGGGAGCGTACATGTCATGAAGTGAAGGGTGGTCAATGGAAGGTGGGCGTCGTGGGAAGAGAAGGGACCGTCGGAAACAAGGATGGGCCGAGATTATGGGCTTGTTGGGCTGGGCTATCTCGGCCCATGATACGAGGAACATGTTCGCAGAATAGGCGTCACCTATGCGATGGTCCAGAGCACATGCCACTACTAAACTCCCACACTTGAGACCAGTTGCCTGCAAAATTCCAAATATATAAATATGTGATTAATGTGTCATCCTTTATGTTACAAGAATTTTTAATTATTTAATATAATAAAACTTGTGTTGTAACTTGTACGTGCATGTTAATTTACTTAATTTGTAGCACCTGAACAGCGAGGACACCATGCTTCTTTTTGGGCACAAGCTTCCCTTCAATGGTGTCATCTGGGTTGTACATGTTGAGACGGTGTAGTTCCACGTCAGCCACAGCTTCGACAAAATCTACACCGCGGTTACTGCAAAACAGTTCAGGCTCACCCGTGGAGTTGGTCACCACTTCACCCGCAAGAGGGTAGTAGTAAACTAGAGCCTGAGCCAAGGCATTTTTGAGGGACCCTACCATGGAAGCAAAGGACATTGACGAAGGTTTTTTGTAGCAAAAGAAGACACTAACGTCGAGTGGGGGAATGAGAAGATCAAGGTTAGATAGTGGGAGCCAGTGCTCTTGCATTGGAAGCTCTGGTGCCACCACCTCCACCTTGCTCACACTCACAATGAATCCTTCTCCCGAAACCATTTTTTGGAAATAAAATATGAAGGGTTTTGTTTGGCTTATTGAGGCACACAAGGTATAAGGGTGGTCTTATGATGAATTTAAAGGAAGTGGCCTAGAGAGATATGCATGCATGATCGTACGCGGACTAGGGCTTGTTAGTCCCTAGTGGGGGTATTTTATCATTTGTAGTCGATGTCAATGTTAGTTGAGACTCAATATTGAATAAAATTTACATCATTTTCATTATCAAATCACATTTTCTAAAATATATAGTTTCAAAGTATATTCTTCCTATATATCTTCAACCGCAAAATACGATCGATATGTATGTGTCGTGTTTTTATATTTTTGTCATCAATCATAAAGTATTGAAAATGGTAATTAAGTTTGTTAAGTTTTATAAAAAATTTGTTAAAATATATATATATATAGTTATTGAACTCATGCTGTAATTTTCTTCATATTTTACTTTTAACTTTTTCCTTTCCAAATTAAAACAAACGAAATGTTTTTAAATGTGTAATTGTTTTTTTTTTCTCATAAGAATAATAATATAATAAATTGGTAATCCAGAGTGTTTCAGTATTGATCAGCGTTTCACCATTAAGACATTAAGTAATTTTATATCCACGAAAGAAAGCAGAAAGGTGATTCTGTAATATATATTACATCATGCATTCGTCAATAAATTATATCATATATATTATAGTATTGGGTAGTTGAGTAGGGCATTTCTTCTTCATTTCTAATTGTAAATTAAAACTCATTAATTTGGATCAATTAATAAAATGAAATATAATAAGGGTTTAATAATTTTCCCATATTATTAGTCTAAAAAAAAGTAAATTTTCAATCAATAAAAATTGTGATAAATATAACTTTTAAAGTAATTATTGTGAAATTTAATAAATTTATCGTGTATAAAAATTTCTAAAAAAAAATATCTATACTATCTGATACATTACCAAAACATAAAAATCATAAATTTAAGACTAACAGCAAGTTAATTAACAGCTTTTAACCACGTTGATGTTTGTATATATTTGATATTTGATTTCATAATTTCATTGCGTCTAGTAGGATCCACATCCTATGACAGCTAGCACTTGTTGTTTCTCCGTATTTTGTTCTTTTGACGAGATTCTTTTCATGTAAATGCACTTACACAACGTCAAGCAAACAGGCATAAAAACCTCTGAATTGTTGACAAAAAGAAACACACTGGTATAGAAGAATTCCAAATGTCAATAATATGCTACAAAAGACTACACAACAAGGCTTGCTTCAAAACCCGATCATAATAAATAATCTTATAGTGGACCGATCAATTACGACACGAAGTCCTCTATAATATCTTTGTTATTATATTTGTTATACACTATGATTATTTTTAATTTCAGTAGTAAACTAGTTTATTTTTACTATTGGCTATTAATTAAT